TCTTATCATCTGTTGTGCTTGGTACCGTGAACCATGAATCATTCAACCACCTATTTATATCAATTTAATGATCAGTTTGTAGACTTTAAGAGCAGGCATACATGACCACAGTTCTTCAAATCTCCCTTCTCGTCCCTTTATGAACAAGACGATTGCTCATGACTTATTCCAGCCTGTCGGTGTCTTTCACGTTTCTAGGTGCAACCGAACCTTTCCACTAAAGTTCTACGCAGTATAAAACCACACGCTCTGATCATTTCAGTTTCCAGACGATCTCGACTTAGGCCCTTCGTTCCTTCATCTGCTTTGCGGCATGTCGAACTTCACTTATGATGAGCGGCAGTGCCCTTTCCTTTGTAGTTGAAATGACGGTGGGGGACTCGTACAACTGACATAAACAATTGAGTGTCAAAGTTTCTTGGAGATAGACTTTATAGTATCTGTGTAAGGAGTTAATGCGCTATGCCCGTTTTTTGAACTCCGTGATTGTCGACAAATAAACAGCTCGCCCCTTTTATGTTGTCTGATGCTTCTGCGGTCTTCGACTGTTTTCTTTTTTGTCGCAATCAGAAAGTCTCGAAGTCCTGCAGCTTCCATCGAATGAACTTGCCGAGAGGAGTGTTCTCCATCATGTCGGTCCCATCTGCCTTCATTTTCTTCCACTTTTTCAGCAAACTTTTTGTCTATTGTGAAATCTTTCCTTTCCTTTCTTTCATTCTACCACCTCAATTTCACGGCGAACTTCCTGCAGTAGTCGTTAAAGCTGCCTTTCGGGCTTTAGTTTTCACTTTAAATGCGCCCTTGGAGCACCGCCTTGTCTACTTGCAATTTAATACCGTTAGTTTTTTTTGCGCTCTCATTTTTATGCAGTTGTTTTTGATAAGTATAGAGGATGTAGCGTAGTGTCCAAAATACGCGACAGACAGTGACAGTGACCGTTTACACATGCGACCCATGTTTAACAGCTGGCAGAATATTCGAAAAACGGGTCCTTGCAGTCTTCAAATGACACGGAGGGGTGAAATTTCTATTAGGATTTTAGCCAAAGTTAAACTTTTTATTTGCCCTTTCTGATTAGCATATAGTTTTAATTGAATTCCTGTTTCATAAAATGTAACAATTCATAGATACATCTTGGTGAAGAGTTGGCATCTCTCTATCTCTCTGAGACAAATCATCAGACAATGCGCCATGATGGAATGACGGATTTTCAATGAGGTTCTGTGCGGTCAGACCTGCATCAGTAATTTCACTAGGAGTATTTTGCTCACACGTTGGTAGTCATACTGAAAAATAACATAATGGCAGTTTATGCAACGCAACGATGATAAATCAGATGATCAGATGTATCGACTATGCCACATTGTGTTATGAAGTTGCTTCGATGCTGTGCATTAACGTAACACAAACACCTGGTAAGCGCATAATGCGAAGTCTATGCGCCGACGCGCCGAGGCCAGCGGCAAGAAAGGCATGTATTGGTTATAACTTTGTTTCGCAGTTTCCAGCAGTTTTGCATTGATTGGTTTTCCAAATGACAAAAGACGTTTAGTTTTTTATCATGTCTTTTCTACCTACCTCATAACTTCATTAAACAAATAAGAAACCGCCACCGTGGAATATCGCCATACTGTAGAATTGATTTTCACGTTTTGTTGCGATAGCGCTTCTTAGATCAACAGCGGGATAAAATTTAAACTGTTTTGAAGTTGTGTATCAGTTGTACGGAAGTGTGTCCGTTTCTGATTCTGTGTTCTTAAGGTAAAAACTTAACATTTGGTTTAAAAGGATTGATACTGCATTCTATAGAACCTGCTTATGATGCGTTTTTCCTACAATGTTGTAGGTATCTGGTCGTGATCAAAAATGAGTGAAAAATCTAAAGGTGAATTTGAAGTGTTCTGTGCCGTTTCACAAAAATTTAGCTTTAGAAGGAATAAGTGTTCCATCTGAGAAAACTAATGAAGGTACAAGTTCAATAAAAGCTGAAATTCAGTCATCGTCGTTTTTTCCGCCGTCGAAACTAAGTTCAGCCGTAGAAAAAATCTGCAAACAGTCAAAGACTGCTCCAGTAAGAGGTAAGCGGTTAACTCACAAGATTAATAATTGCATTTTATTGAACGTTTACATTTTTTGCGGACTGGTGATTGAGTTTTCTGTTATGCTAAAACAAAACGATGCCGATATTTTTATTTGAACCATCGTTTTTGTAACCGTTAGCTTAGAAGATGTAATAAAGATCTTCTTGGAAGACTTCCTTAAATTCGCTAATACTAATTCGATAGGGATTTTCGAGCAAGTTAAACTTGTTCATCAAGTTTTTATGTTTGTTTAGCACTTCCGCTAAGCTGGTATCGTTTTAAATGATCATTTACACCTTACCTTGAATCTAGTTTCCAATTCGATTCTTCGAATTCTGTCGATCCAGTAACACCGTTCTTATAAATTTTGCTTGGAAAGCCATTCGCTTTATGGGGCTTGCAGCATTAGCGAGGTATGAATACTTTTTGCTGTCTTAGTAGCTAGGAATGGTGCATTAGTATTAAGTTGTTTTCTTCTGAGCAAGGTTTCTAAGTAAGGAACTGCATTTAAGCTATTCTGCTGTAAAAGCTGTCATGATTTACGGAAGTATTTTTAAGTTAAAAGATGAAAAGATTTTTCCTGTACGTTGAAAGGCTTTGGTAAAAAGAGTGGTCGTGAGAATGTCTGTTAAACAGATGAGTCACAGCAATAGCATGTTGGAGATTTGTAACTGCATGGATTAAGACTGGAAACAGCATAAAACACGGTTATTTTTACAAAACGCAAACAATATGGTTGACCGGATAATTGGTCATTTGATACTGGCTAATCATCCGATTGACCATATTGCTTGTGCTGTTTGTAAATAAATCGTGTTTTAGTCCGTTTTCAGTATCACTACCAACGAAATATTCCATGAAAATTAAGGCTCACATTCATCATTTTGGCATTTTTCACTTTAGCAGTTATAAAGAATTCAGTTAAACTGAACTGCGACCAGTTTGTTTACGCAATCGCATTTCTCACTTACATGTTCATTTGCTGTTTTCCTGATTCTGAGTCCGTTGTTCAGAAAATGGATCGTATTTTCATTCGTAGGTTTAGCAGCAAACACGACAAAGGCCGATAGTGAATCATCAGCAGTTATATCGTCGTCATCGAAAAATGATGTAAATTTATCAGGTAAGTTTTATCTGTTGTCAGCTGTTGCTTTAATTATTTTTTACCTATATCTATAAGCCTAAATATTGTTTATTCTTTTCCGAATTTTGGCAGCGTTGTTAGTATGGCGTATGGTCATGAATCACATATGAAAATCATCTTAAAAATAGTGAATGAAAAATTAACTCGTTTCAGTTTGATTTTTTCAGATTATACATTCAGTCACAGGGGTCAACATAATGGTCAGATGCACTTTTCTGTATGTAGTACGCAAATCCTTCAGCTAATATCATACAGGTGTTTCTGAAACGCCTGACGTGAGTTAACAAGATATAACTGCGAAATAATTTTTCTGTTGGAGTAAAAGAAGTGGAGACTCAATTTTTCAGAGAATTTTTTTACCTGTTTGTTGTCCCTTATCACTACTTTCACAATAATTGTGCCTAACAGTAAGTACAAAGGACACTAAATGAAGGCATGGAAGTATGAACTTATGATATTAACTACAGTTTTACATCTCGTATATGCACGGTATTAAGTATAGTTGTACTATAGTTGATCTGTAACGAGTTCCTAATTTTCTTTATCTATCGAACTTCTGTTTTTACACATTCGTCATATGCAGTATTTCAAATATACAACTAATTTTGATCAGTTCTTCTTTCCACGGTTTGCAAGGCTTTTTCGAAATGAAAACAGCAGCAAATAAGGTTTGTTTATGCCCAACGCAGTTTGGACAGTCGCATGGTTGATCATTACCGATGTTTCGGCCCGCATCTCACGGTCCTTCTTCAAGGCAGATTTGGGTGAGTTTTTGAAGTCCTTCTTATCTTGTGCAGTAGTGCCTTCGTTCGGAGCCAGAAAGATATTTGTGATGTATTCAGTGTTACCGCCAGTGCACTAACCAAATACTCAGCCTTCGGATGAGCCTCTTCGAAATGTTAATTTTATTGTTATAAATTTTCTTCTGCTTTCGTCAGTTAATTCGTTTTATGTTCCGCTTTAAGGTGATTTTCACTCATGAACATAATGAAGACGCACAGCATTACTGCTTATTAGTGGCTAAATAATGATGGGAAACGAAATGATAGCACATAATAGCCGAGAGAACTGTCGAATGTGGAGCGGCAGCATGCCTTGGGATGTCGGGGCTTAGTTTTTTTATCTTCACGTTTTTTGAGAACTTAATATATTCATTTGCGCGCTATTGATTGTAAATGCGAATTGCTTGCAACCTTAAGGAAGAAGTTGCCTTAAATAATTGACGTTATTGACTCGTTATGCGAAACGTCATTTGTAGAAGCTGCACTGTTTGGGGAATTTCAGTGCTTAATCATTCAGGCAAGTTTCTTCTTTAAATAGATTGATTAATTGCTGTGAACATTGTACTTGCTGGGTCGCCGTGAATTCACGGTATCTAGAGTTGTTATGAATTTGTCGTACAATCGAAGACATTCAACTAACGAATCAGTGGCAGCGATTAATGATTTTATTTAATGAGGTTGTTCTGCCTAGTTGAGTAGTATTTTGACTGGTGGAAAATGTCTGAACCCTCCGTCCGATTTTTTAGTATCAAGTTTGCTCCCCGTCCGTGTCACAGTAAATGATGCTTAGACACCGGATCTTTTCTTGAAATATGTCCCTTGATATAGAAAACAATATTAACCTACTTATAGGTTTTGGTTGCTCAGGACCTGAACAAAAAGATGCTGTTTCATCTTCTTTCAAAATGTTCTTGGAAACTAATGTAGACCGACGTCAAATTCCGAAATCAACTACTCCGCCTGATTTCGTTTTTGGAAAAGACGTAGAGCACCGCGCGATGGTAGGTTTATTTCATCCTTATTTAAGACTGACAGTGTCATTTTAGGGTGTTAAAGAGTCAAGTGCTTCGAAATCTCATCTCAAAACGTTTAGTGATCTGGCAGGAGATGTCAGTAACCCACAAGAACAAAACAGTGCAAATGGCCTCACAAGTCAAGCATTTGGTGGTAACGATTCTTTAAATTTGTGTGGTTGATAATTTATCGCATTACTTGTGAGATGGTGGTTCCTCGGAGTGGTCACAAGAAACGAAGGCGTTCATTGGACCCGTTGCAAGCCAGCCGCAGGTAAAGCTGGACCCGGTGGAGGTAGTCACCGGCGAGGAAGACGAAGATAACGTGGCGAAAGTACTTCAATGATTTTGGTATTACATCCTGGGGCTATTTACTTTTCAGATTACGTGCCAGCTGTATGTTTTCAACAGGAACCGTGTCAAGTGGTCAGAAATGGGATATGTAAATCTGAGAATCAATGATATGCGTAATGATAAAAGCGATCGCTTAACTAGCCGAATAGGTAAGCACTGTTCCAGTTTTTTTAAATGCAACCACACAAATAGTTGTGATTTCTGTGCTGTCTGTTGAATGCTTCGATTAACTGGGAATTCTGAGGTTTTGAAACGTGATCTTTCATCTTTATCCTTCGCTCGTCTCATGGATAAAACCTTGACATTCCTGTCGTCTATTTTTGTTAAGTCAGCTAAAATTTTGAATAATATCAATAACTAAAGTCATTTTCAATCGAAGTATTTTGACACAAAAATCCATTCTACTTCCACACCTGGCTGTGTTTATTAGTGGGAAGTCATGTTGTTTAATTTAAGTTTGTCTAAATGTGATCCGATATATAAATATTTCTTTTCTTCATTAACTTAACATATAACAGGCTCATATATATGACCTTAAACATTCTTTTTGACCCTTTAAGATTGGTTTGACTCGCTTTCACAGATTTGGACTCTTTAATAATCTTAATTTTCTCCTACGTAATAATTCCATATCCGGTTAATTTATCTACAAACCCATCTTGCTTTTGGATGCTTTTTGATTTTTATGTAGACAGTGTCTCTGGTAGTTTAGCAGTGGCAGTGCCTAAACAAATCTCGCATCATTTTATTGGTTGCTTCACCGCCGTGCAGTGCCTAGCAATGTTTCTCAACCGATATTTCTTACACGCTTTACCAACAACGTCAAAAGTAGATTCATATACCGGGAATGCGCCAAAAGGCGTTATTCCAGGAATCCCCTTGGCTGAAAACAAGCCCACTGTTTTTAACGGCACCTATTACAGTCGGAAACCTGCACAACTTTAACGTTGAAGAAGGCCCGTGAGGTGCGGGTCGAATCTTCGTTGTAAGTTTTTTACCTGATTATCTACTCTACTATATTGTGTATAATTAAACCATTTGTTGTGCTTCTTTCCTATGACGCACCAACCAGATACTCAATGTTTCGTTTTCTTGTTGTTGTCATCTTCATCTGGAGTATTAAGGTCAAGGACAGAATACTCAGATTAATGTTGTCTGTGATGTAACCGTAACCCCTAACCTTTTGTTGCGTCGGCGAGCGAGAGTTTTGTCCGATTGAGTTTGTCTCTCCTGTGTTCTGACAAGCAAACTTGTTTACAATTAGTTGAATTCTTAATGCAATCTGTGTCATGAAGATTTTCTGGTAAGCTTTTGTTAGCTGAATAACGTCCATTGTCACAGTGAACTTTTTTTTGTTCTGTTCACGTAGTTTTTCACCCATATACTTTAGTGCGTTTCTTTTCGAGTGCAAGCAGTTTTTAATTTCCTTCAGATCTGTTTGCATAAACATTTTCTCTTCGATTGCGTACCATTTGTTTGAATGAGAAACCAGACGGAATCTATTTTATGTTGCAAAGTTCTCCATACCTTTAAACGGCGTTTACTCTCAAACTGTTATTGAGTATGATATTTCGATTAAACCAAAGTTGGTTTTAAGGTTGAGCACAGAGAAGTTTTTTTATTAGGACTAATATTGACTCAGCGGAAGTGTACTTTATATCTCACTGA